AAGTTAGTTTTCTTTTTGATTGGCAAGCTATAAACATCATATTATTTATCTAATTAGATCGACATTAGTATACCACCTGAAGCAATTGATAGTTTTTCTGAATATTTATCATCAAATGATGATAAAATAAAATATGATGTTGTCATGAATGATATTGGTGCCGTTATTGATCGACAAAAATTATTACATAAATTACTTCCATCAACTTTTAATGCTGATGATTTTGCTTATGATAAATATCATACACTTGAGGATATACATGCATGGATTGATAAAATGGTTCAAACTTATCCAACATTAGCTTCAACATTTACCGTTGGTCAATCGTATGAAAAACGTGATATGAAAGGTTTAAAAATATCATCAAGTAAACTAGCAACTAAACGTGATGGTACTCCAGTAAATCAGAAAAAAGCTGTCTGGTGGGATGGAGGTAATTTATTACTTGTTGTGTTTTTTTTTTCATTAAAAAACTTTTTCTTTTTATTCCTCCCTAAGGTATTCATGCTCGAGAATGGATTAGTCCAGCAACAAATATTTTTATTGCTCATACACTTTTATCAAACTATAGCAAAGATCCAACAATTACACATTTAGTCGATCAATTTGATTATTATATTTTACCTGTATTTAATGTAGATGGTTATGCATATACATGGTCAAAAGATAGAATATATTATATTAAAATGAATATTTAAAAGCAGAAAAAAATATTTTTTTCTATTCACAGATCGTTTATGGCGTAAGACTCGAAGTAAAACAATAATTCCACTTTGTTTTGGTGCTGATCCAAATCGTAATTGGGATTACAAATGGTGTGAAGGTAGATACATATACATACATATGCACTTATTTCAAGAAAATTATTTTTATTATTAGGTGGTGCTTCACGTGATCCATGTTCTGATACATATTGTGGTGGTAAACCATTTTCTGAAATTGAAACCGTACAAGTTTCTAAATTTATTGGTGCTCATAATGATACTATTGTACATTATATTAATTTTCATTCATATTCACAATTATGGATGACACCATGGGGTAAATATGATAGGAAAAAATGATATTGTATCTGTTAATATGATCTCTCATTTTTTTAGGTTATACAACAAAAAAACCAGATCAATTCAAATTACAAGATGATGGTTCAGCTGCAGCTGTTGATGCTCTTGGTGCTGTTTTTGGTTCGTTCATAACATAAACTTTTCTTTAATTATTTTTGATATCCTTAGGTACTCAGTATGTACATGGTAATATTGGTGCAACTATCTATGTTGCATCTGGTAATACAGTTGACTGGACATCTGGTACAGCTAATGTAACATTTAGTTATGCTGTTGAACTTCGTGATACTGGTGAATATGGATTTTTATTACCAGAAGATCAAATTATTCCAACTGGTCAAGAAACATTAGCTGGTGAACTAGCTTTATTGAAATACATTGAAGGACATGTTTATGCATAATCGAAAATGAACTATTTTTTTCACAACATTTTTTTTCTTCTTCTTCTTTATTTACCTTTTGATGACATTAATGTGTGTTCGAGAAAGAACAGAATTTCCATTATTTTTTTTGATAATAATTCTTTCAATATTTGTTTTTTTCCAAATTAATTGTCTTTCAAATCTTTAGAATACTACATACTACAGATTGACAGGCCTCGCAGCCGGTATACTTTCCTGTTTTTCCTACTTCTGGTCAAAAATCCTGAATTTCTTCTGATTTTTCATAATTCATTCGCATAGTCATTATATATTCCCTTATCATGACATATTATAATATTCTTAACTTAATTTATTTTCAAAATGCATATTAAAATATTATATATTATACAATATCTTTAACAAAAACAATACAATTTGCAAAAATAAAGTTTCCATTCATCATTCATTTTTTCCTCAATCGGTTTTAATTCTCCCTATTCTCACGTAAGTGAGCTTTCAAAACAGATAATTTAGCATTCGCAGCAGTCATAAGTAATTCAGCTATACCAACATCATTAAAATCTTTACTATTCAGGACGGTAGCAAGTCTTATACTTCCTTCTTTCAACATTTTCGTTGCACTCACTAAATCTTGTTGTAAAATGTTTTGTTGGTTTACTAACTCGCTTTCTTTTTCTTCTAAGGGGAATAGTAATTGCAAATACTTACTATCATCATGTGTTAATGCTCGTTGTTCTTTCTCAACAATAACAAAAAGTATTCTGGTTGTATTTCTATCAATAGATCCTGTACCTATACATTTACTATTATCATTTTTATTTTTCGATAAAAGTAATGATTGATTGTTTGATGCTGTTAGTGAAATAGAATTAAACACATCTTTCACACATTGAAATGAACTGGTAGTTTTACTTTGTCTAAGACATCGAGAATTCACTTTATCAGTATTATCTGGGTTTTGCAACCATTTTGAACAAAACTTTGTGTTTGTCGGCATCAGAAACTAATTAGTCAAAGGGATACATTTTTTAAAATCAAATCAATATAAGATAATAGTTGTCTTATATATGCAGAGAATAAAAACACAGCATTAAAGTATGACAATAGAAGAGAACGAAAAGTATATAGACCTAAATAAAAGAATAAGTTTATATATGATTCATACTGTTTTAAACAGCTTTAGTGCTTACTTGTAGCAACCTGTATTTTGATCTTTCCTGACTTTTATGAAAATTCCTGATTTCAAAAAAAAACATTTCCTGTCGTGCTTCCTGATATTGAAACATATGCCGTTGCGACCCCTGTACAGAATGAACCGTGAAAGATGAAACATTTTTTTATAGTACATTTGAACGACAAATATCATCATTAACACAACAACAAATTGTTGATGTTGATGTACATATTGCTCACCGACCACCAGATCTTATTCCATCATATCACAAACAATTACAATCATCAATATCACTTCCTCCACATTCAAAATCAACTAATATTTTAACAGCAAAAGGCGGCAAAGAGTTCTTTAATAATAATAGTATTATAGACAAATAGACCTCGAAAGAAAAGAAAGATGTGAATATAACTATGTAGTCCTGTTCTTAGTCTTATCAAATACTATGTCATCTAGTTCCTAGCGTTCGAGTCCTTCAGTGAAAAAGTGATTATTGAAAATTTTCAAGGTATCATGCACAGAATTATGATAAAATATGTTATTCCTCTTTATCCATATGTCATTATCGGTGGTTAATATCTAAAAAAATGTCCGTACAACAAAGAATGCAATGACCATCGAATATTGTCACTTCTGATAATGAAAGTCTTCTTCTAAAATCTATTCTTTTCGAATTTGTGAGTCACTAATAAGAGATTCTCTCTGTAAATACACTCTTTGAAAAAATATATAAAAAAACTACGAGTATTTTCTCGAAAGTATTTGGTAATCCTATTAATAAAACTATAACACGCATATTGCCAAATGAATGAATTGGAAAGTTCAGATTCCGGGAATTTTAATCTCATGTGCATTAAGAGATGCAAATAGAAACATGTACAAAGAAATAATGAAAAAGTAGACGATCTGATTCTTGAATAGCTCTTATATTCATTTACAAACTTATTCGTCCACATTAACGTCTAATATTTTATTTTTAGATTGAACCATGCTACGAACAGCATTCTACGATTATCGAGTACAAGTAAAAAAAACCATTTAACAATTCAAATTAATTTTAATCTTTTTTAGATTAAAAATTGTTTAAAGCAACTAGTAATGGATTTTAACCATTTAGCTGACCTGGAAAACAATAAAAATAAAGCAAAACCATTCATTATTCCTCAAATTTTGCACAGGTCCATCACGTGCAATTTTTGATCAACAACATAGTGAATTTAGCACAGGTCCACCACCCACATTTCGTACACAACAAAATACTCAATTTTCACAAGGTCCACCACATTCATTTCCTGCACAAGAAGAAGGTCAAATCGAGCGTCAAATAGTAGTACTACGTAAAAGAATTAGATTAGCAATTAAAACTATGGTCGCTAT